ACGGAATTCTCTTCCACGGTTGGGGTGTTTGTCTATTCGATTGAGCGCGGCTTCGATAAGAGCGCGAGTATAATTCGAGCGTTGAGATCCTTCTGCAGCGATGAGCCGCCGCCCAAGTCCCTCTCATGCGAAGTGCATATCTGACCTCAGAGGTCCGAAACGATACGCGTTAGCACGCGGAGAGTGCAAGGGACGCAAAGATTTTTCGCATTTCACGTCCTGATCTACTGGGAATTGAAGGACTGATCTCTCATGGCTTACATAGGTACCTTCTCGTAGGATGCATCCCATATAATTGCTTCGACCCCGTCGGAGACTTCGGCGATCGCTCTCTTGCCTTTCGCTCTCCGTCTCGACTGTCGGTCATGTTCACTGTGATGTTTCCCCTTAAGCTAAGCCGACCCTCCATCCAGCCCGATTGCTGACGGGAGGCACTCGAGAGGGCTCGTCGTCAGTACCGGGACCTGGAGAGTGACACGATTGGTAATTCTCTCTCTCGATCAAAATCCATACAATCAAACTACAACGCTCAATCGACGAGGTAGCGGGAGAATACTGTTGGACATTGGATTTCGTGGAGGGAACCAGGAGGCAAGTCAGGCGGATGGATCAAGGTAGGGAAACGAAGAATCCGTTGTCGGGATCTGGCCATCCCACCGGAGATCCCCATGACGCCTGAGCCATGTCCGGCTCGAGTGGCTACAAGCCACGGAAGGAAAGGATGTCCCAGAAAATGGAGGAAATACGAACGATTTTCGAACGATCCGCACGAGGACACTGATACGTCAATGACTCGCTCAGCTGCTCGGTGTCTCAGGCAGGTCCCGTGTCGAGATCAAGCTATCTATTGAGAGGAAGACATTGGAAGAAACTTCGAAATTTTCCCCGGAGGCTCCAAAATGGAGGTGATCCCCCGGCACAGGTCGCAGGTCCCGAACTCTTTGAAGCTCATTGATGACATGGCTACTCCCCCGGCGAAATAATCGGAGTCAGAAGCTAAGATCCTGTCTATTTCCGCTAACACGCGCGGAACGACGGATCTCCAGCGTTTCGTTTGATTCATGGGTGCGAAGCTCCTTTCCGAGCTTCAAGTTCTTAGGGAGAATTTTAAGGACTCTGATCCTGCTATCGCGTCGAGGTGCGATTCTGTCCGACGCCGTGACGAATGGTGGCGGACGATGTTCAGAATTCTGACACTACGGAAGGTTGGGTGAAATTGTAAGTCCGATGCTTGATCAAAGTGTTGATAGAACATCCCCTTCCGCTCATGGGATGTCCTGACCGACCGACCGACCGACCGAGCGAACTTTCTTCAGGCGTTTGCGAGACCCCAGTCATACCTATGAGCTGGAGAGCTCGTTAGCCGACCCCTTGACGGGAGACTTCCAACACAGCTCGGCTTGATACCAATGATAGCTCCATTCAGGTGCCTGGGGTGGGTGTCCGCGTTTTCGTTCTCTCCACCCTTCGTTCTCTCCTATCCCCGAGATATGTAGGTATATAGGGCAAAGGAGCTCTCAATTGAGTGTACTCCTTGCCGTGACTTCAATAATCTCAGAATCCTCATCGTGTTAGATCTCTGATCTGAATTTGTTCAAGGAAAATGAAGACCATTGCATTGCTCGCAGCCGTGGCTTCGGCCTTCTTCATCCAGACCACTGCAGCTGCCCCGATGACCACGCCCCCACCGGGACACCATAGAGGCGGAGCGATCATCGTCCAGAACACGAACAAACTCGTCGACGAGCCATCCCTGCCGCCGGTCGCCGTCCCGGAGGCTGTTGTGGTGCCTGCCCTACTTCCGCCCATCGTTCCTGTCGCCCCAGCTCCCGCGCTTGCTGTCGTGCCTCCACCAGTGGTCCCTGTCGCTCCCGCCGTCCCAGTCGCACCGGCAGTGATCCCTCCAGTGACGGTTGTAGAAGTGCCCGTTGTGGACGACGTTCAGATCGTGAAGGTGCGGCAGTGATTCCAGGGATCATATGCTGTGGGCTCACACCATGCGACCGACATCTCGGGAGGATCTTTGCATCCACCACGAACTCATGGAATCCATTGAGAATTTAGCGAATAAACTGACTATGGCGCAAGAGAGCTAGCATCTTCCCTCACTCCGTCATTCAACTGACAACAAGAATGATCGAGCATTTCGGGGGGGAAATGATGACACAGAGTCACCACTAGCATCGGAGATGACAACCATCAACTACTCGTGACACCTTGTAGTGCGAATAAATAGAGCGATAGCGCTAAAAAGACGAGTTAATCTACCCTCATATCATAATTATATCGATGAGAGGTCTCGACACCTGCCAGGTCCCTCGAATCGGTCCCCAACGCGGAGTCGGGAGGATTCACCTCAATCGAATAGATGCGAGAACGATCCCACGGATGGTTCAGGTCGATTCTAACAAGAACGGCTCCAGCGACTCCGCTTCTCGAGCATCCTCGGCGCAACTAAGCCTGCTCGCGTCTATGACAAGACGACTCAATAAGGAACTTTACGAGCGTCTGAGGCACATCCTGTGACTCTGATGAGGAGAAAAATTAGGTTCGTCAGGCACCAGTCCATCGCACATAGTGAAGAGACCTTTATCTAGTTGGAAACTGCGGCGATTTGGGTCTCGCCCACTGCCATTCCGCGTCCATTACCGACTGATGCACTCCGCCGCGCTACGCTGCGGCTCGGGCTTTCCGATATGATCAAGTTTGTCCTTGATATGACCAGGACGGTTCCATTTGGCGTTCGGTCGCTGTCCTGGCAATATCAGTGTTTCTCTTGGCTGACGGAATCGCAAAATTGTCGATCTTTATCCGGATGAATGTTTGTATCTGTCTCGGCACTCGTCGTGGGGGTTTCTGAATCCAAAGCTTTTCGAGTTCGACATACAAATTTACCTCCACAACCCCACCAACTCTGAAGCCATTCCACATCCAGAGGTTGGCCTTGGTCGGGTCGGAGTCTCCGGCGATTGTTTTCTCGCCTCTTGAGTCCTTTCCTCCATGACCGATGAAGTCAGTTTTCATGCTTCCTCAGGGAACATGCGACCGTGTCCTGACCCTTGATCTTTCTCTTGTTCTTGATAGCATAATCATCAGGGTGGCCTCGCGGTCAGTTTCGAGATATCGACCAATTATTTCATGATCTCCCAGGACTAAGGTCCCCACAACCGAATACCACTGCCCATTCAGGATGTATCAGTCCCGTGGGCGGATGGGAACTAATCGGATCGGTGATGGTCTGGACCGAGATACTCTGCCGTCAGGCACAAATCTTCCGCGGATCCCTCATGGAACGGGGCGTCTGCGACTCGAGCAATAGTGGAGCGGAAGCGGCGTCCCAGGAAATGGAAGGCACGATGTGCAAGAGGCCCCACATTCGCCTACACCTCCACCCGACGGTCGGTGTCAGACAGGTCGCTGAGAGATCTCTCACGGCCTTACAGGAGAATAAGCGTCACCGAGAGCTACTTATTGATCGCTATTCAGGCTTGGGAGCCGGGTTCCGAGTTTTTCGATCGGAGACCTCGGAACGGAGGCGATTACCCTGCATGAGAATCGGGCCCTCGAACATTCATTGATAACACAGACCCTTTCGAGCGCAAACGTGAGATGAGAGCTTTCTGATCTCAGACGTGACGATGCAACATTATTGGACCGTTTCCGGGAAACGAAAAACTGGAAGCGAAATTCTGATCGATAAATGGGATTTTCCGACAATAATGATCCTCATTGTCATCATGGGGGCCAAGGATGACACCTAGAGACGGGCGGCGCACTAGAAAACGACAAGCCGCCTTAGCCAGCACGGGCGGGCCTCAGGTGCACTCATCGCCTCATGGCATACGCAGCAGATTTCTCGGGAGCGGGGACTTTCGACTGGGCTCTGTGCGAACAGTTGAAGCTCGATGCTCCGTCGGGGTGATTCCAATTATTCAATGGACGCATCCTGAGGGCAAGCGACCCCGATGGAACGTGGATCCGAAAGCTTTGATGGTAATCGGGATCCAATCATCCTGTTGAAGATCCCCGATGAGAAGAACCAGCTCCGGCTCGAACAGTCTCGACTAGCGCAGCAGAAGCGGAACTCCGAAAAATGAAACGTACGATTCGCATGGAGCGCTGAAGGCGTCACTGATACTAATGGGGCGGCTAGCTGATTGGTCTCACAGATAGGTCGCGGAGGGATTTTACTCGACCGCATGAGAAGATAACCCCTATTGAGAGCTAGTCGTTGATTGGAATTCGGGTTTTGAAGCAGATTCCAGGGCTTCTTGATCGGACAACTCGCAATAGAAGCAATCGCCCCACAGGACTCCTGGAACCTTTGGAGCTCATTGACGACATGGACCCGCTTTCGCCCCGGTTGAGACAGGAATGCGATCCGATCTCCTCTGATGAGAAGATGACTTCGATTTTCGAGAGTCTACCACTTCGAGCGGCTCTAATCTATGGCCTAAGAGAGCATCTTGAGACGATCGACATTTCCGTGTTTTCAACATTCCATCGCTCCATGTGGTTACGTGCGAACCTCCAATCTTGGAGCCGGAGCCTGTCACACCGGTTGGTGCTGGAAACCCCCTCTGACGAAGAGTAATTATTTGAGATACTTACTCGGTGCACTGTCCCCTCCGAGTTCTGATGAAGTTAGCCTGCTTGACCATAGCCCCAATAAAGGAATGCGTATCGAGAAACATTCCTTAGGCTCATCTCGGACCCCTAGAGCTCGAGCCTCAGTCAGTAAGAGCGGAACGCGACCCCCTCCTCCGCCGGGGTACATCCGCGAACCTCGATCCGAGACCCGACTCGACTTTCCCATTCAGCGCCTGTGGTCGTTCGTCCGGGTTCAGCCCTCTCTCTTCTTTCTTTCTCATATTCTAGGTTTAAAAGCACTCCCGAGTCCCCAATCGAGTATCCTTGACGCGTTCTCTGCAATCCTAACCGATTTCACGTGCACTTTGATCTTTGATTTGAGTGAGACTGTTCTACATAGTACGAGGAATATGAAGACCTTCGCTTTGACCTGCATGCTCGCAGCCGTGGTGTCGACCTCCTTCATACAGATCACCGCGGCAAACCCTTCAACCACACCTCCACCGTACCACAGGAGAGGCGGTGCGATCATCATCCAGAGCAAGAACATACTCGTCGACAAGCCTGACCCGAAGCCGATCATTGTTCCGGCGGCTGATGTGATCGCTATGGTATCTCTGCCCGCGGCCCCTGTTGTTCCTGTCGCAGCACCGCCCGTGCTACCCGTCTTACCACCACCCGCGGTCGCACTTGCCCCTGCGCCCGTGCTTCCTGCCGCCCCTGCGCCCGTGCTTCCTGCCGCCCCTGCGCCCGTGCTCCCGCTCGCCCCTCCGCCCGTGCTTCCTCTCGCAGCTCCAGCCGCGGTTCCTCCCGTCGCGGTCGTATCTGAAGTCACGGTAGTGAAAGTGCCCGCCGTAGAAGACGTTCAAGTCGCCAAAGTGCGACCCAGCGCTTAAGAATCGTAGGCCTCAGACCTCGGTCATTCGACCGGTACCGAGAATCGTAGAGAGTCCTCGACACATGGAAACAAGGGACAGATTAGGCTCTCATGGAGCCTTAACGAAGCTGTGAAAAGTCGTACGAATAAATATTTATTCTCATTCCTTTATTCCTTTATTCCTTATTCGGTGAGTTCATCTCAATGATGTGACTCGATGTTAGAAGAGGCTCCTCATTTCGACTCTTCGAGGAAGATTAAGAGCTCCACCTCGATCAGTCGAATGGGAAAAATTCCCGTTCTCAAACTCGTCTTCAGTCTATTACCGGTCCTCTCGATGGGTTCTTGGCAAGTGGACGAATATGTGTATGGTTCTGATGGACGAATATGTGTATGGTAACAGTCAGCTCGATTCTTAATTGGCGGGGCTTCGGTTTCGATAACGCTGCAGCGAAGGCCTCTCGGAAGATGATTAAAATCATTCGTATCCGCTACGCGCCCGCCGCCTGGAATCCGATCAATCGCATCGAGCAGAAGATTGCGACACCACGCAGTCATCCATGGACTGATGCAGAGAGGAGCACGCAGTGATCTCGCCTTGACATGGGTTGGGATTTCAGGGATTTGCGGCTCCACTAATGACACTCTTCCTAGCCGGACTCTAATCACTCATCACATGCTCAGCTAGATTTCACAAGGAGATAACAAAGTTCCGGAACCCGACCACAATCAGCTCGGGGAGGTTCACTCTCAGTTTCTTCGTGAACTCCGGAGCGTGGTGTCGGAGTGATACTTCGGCACCACCGTCAACGGGATTTGCCGCCAAATAGGTAATGTTTAGCTTCTTCAACATAGGCGCTGCTTCGTGGTTGATGAGCAGAATCGCTGGACAACTCCAGAGGGGCTTCTCCGGTGGAGACGGCTGCAATCCTCGCGCACACACTCCCCTCTTGAACGGACTTTCCACCCCTTCGGAACTTCGGAGTCCGTGCCTTCAAGGCCGAGGACAAGCTCCGTCGACAATGACCAAACCGAAAAGGAAGAAAATGAGAGTGGAGGACAGAAGTGAGAGCACTCCGAAGAGATCTTGCCGTCACAAGTCGAGGCACGAGAAGCGGTCAATCGACGAAGTCTTGCGCCACGTCAAGAGCCCCACGAAGAAAAAATCCGAGAGCGAAATTCGCCGCGATGACGAACAACGGCTCTCGAAAGCACGTGGGGAAAGGTTTCTCCTCCGCCTATCCTTGTCTGATGAAGTTTATGACCATATGATGCAGGTGGCGGCAGGACCGAGAGGGATGAGTCCGAAGGAGACGGAAATCAGAAGCAAGACCAGCAGGGCAGCGAAGAGTAGCTCTCAGCAATGAGATGCTCCGTTTAGGCTCCAAGTTCATTCAATAAGGAAAAATTCAATTCATCTTCCGCATGTTGGAAGAGGAGAATCATCAACGAACGTGATCCAAGATCGCACGACATTGGGTGAGCCTTACTGGTTCCTCATCAGATGTCCCCCGGTACTGCGAAAAATCATATTCTCACTGGAGCCTCCTATACAGCTGACGATCAGAGGACAACAACAAGCAAATATCTCACTGACTTATGGCCCTTCCATCGGAAGATAGGTATGATGGTGTAGGTGACGAGAAGAGCAGCGAAAAATGCCAGGAGCGCAACGGATATCGTTCGAGCGACTAAGAGTTCCATTTCAGCCTCCTCCCTCTTGATCGAGGAAGTTTCCTCAGGATCCGGAGTGGCTTTCGCTCGCTTGGGCGACGCAGCGCTCCTATGGTACCGCTGAACATCACTGGTGGTCGAAGCTGTAGATTGTCTCCGAGGAGAAGGTACAAGCTCGAATGCTCTCTCAATCGCATCGAGATACATATTATGCTCCGAGGTGTGCTGCTTCAAAGAATCCACAGAAGACCGACATCGTTTTCGTCAGAGCACGCCATAGTCATGAAATAATTTCTTTTGTTGCCGCTCTCGACGCCTGGCCCTCACAGTTCCGATATTGCATAAGTGTGAGTCTATGAATCTTGAGCGTTCAGCAGGTCGACCTTCCGCCGCAAGTTTCCTGGCGATTGACCGGAAAGATAAAATGGAAGTATAAATCGGGAGATCGCTCAAGAAAGTCTCTTTCTTGCAAGAAGACACAGGGTGCCTCAACCGGTCTTCTGGTCTTATTTTAGCATGGCAGGGCTCCAATCCCGAACCACCGTGACCACGTGGATATGCTTGACGCTGTTCAGCATGGCTTCCTGCGCCCGATTTGGCGCTGACGGGGCATCAGATGGATTTCCGAGACAGTCGCGGGTAGGGGAGCTCCCTTCCACATGGGATCGCTTCATCTCCTTCGGTTTCCCTCTGACGGCCAGCGAATGGGGGCGGGCAAGGTATATTTTCCCCGGGAACCGTGACAAAACTGATGCCATGAGTCTTCATCCTCCCCGGGTAAAAGCTTCCCCAAGTCCGCGTCAAGATCCGCGCGGGCTGCCTGAGGGCAGTTCGCGACGGATTCCGGACGGATCCGTCAGATGGAGCATCTGATTCCGATGGAGGCAATCCGGGCATTTATAAGAAGGTGATGATCCGAGGCCTTAGGTGCATAGCTTGCCAGGACCAAATACCGATCCCATGCGGAGACTTTCATGCTGGATATCAATCTTCGTCTCCCCCGGGGATAAATGCCGGGTTTCGGGCACGCGTTAGTTTATTGGATTTCTAATGATGACGATCCCCCTGCGAAACCAGGTTCACGGTGAATTCCCTGGATGGCGCTGTATCGCCATCGCTCTGAACGACCGGAAAATCATTGCAGAACCAGAGTTACAGTCGAGATACGATGCCCGGCTGATTTATTCACGAGATTTTTTCACTGTTCATGGCAGGAGTTTCATGCATTCGCGCGATCCTCGTTTAGCGTACACAGCCGATTGGGAAACGTCGCTCTCGTTTGGAGGAGAGCTTCCGGAAAGGATCAGGGTTGCGGCTCTAAGACTGCGGAAGACGTGCCTTTCTCGTACAAGGGGAAGGTGGATACGATCGACGATAGTCCAATACAGTCAGACTCGATTCCGACAGCTGGACAAAAAAGAGCATCCACTCGAGTTCTTCAACAGGATTACAGGATTCGGGACGAGGTGATCGCATCTGGATATGACATACGACTGGGTGAATCGAGGACAAAAAAAATAGGAAAAGGATAGTGTTCTGAGAAGATATCTCAGGTAACTCCATCCAAGTCTCTTCCCTTCTGAGAGAGGAAGACGTCGATGATTTCACGCGCAGCGTGAACGATGCGCACGTTGCCGAGAGAGAAAGACCAAACTTCCCTCAGAATATCCCGGCTCCACTTTCTTCTCCAAAACATAACGGGTCGATCTCGCCTGCTACCTACGCTAACGGCGCTCGCTGTGCCGATCATTCAATCCAGCGCTTGGCTCAGGGATTCGAAGCTCCGTACACCGTCGTCAGAGAGCTTGGGTTGACTCTTGAAGCGAATTTGGCGCCTCGGCTGAGATCAGCACTTAGTCTGCCTCTTCTCAAATCACCTAATCATCTCTCCGAAGAAAAAAACTGGACCGGAAGTTGTGATCGTCGAGAATAAGCTCACGCCTAGAGGAAGCCGAATTAATCCCATACAATAAGGAACCCAGCGACGTCGTCATGTAAGTATTGAGAGATCTAACGAAAATGCATTCCGATCGATCTGCCCTCGTGGCAACCGGCTCCGTGGATACGGGAAATCGAGCGGAATACGAGATTCACCTCGCGGAGGAATCCTGCTCGGAATTTCGATCAGCACTCGCAGACTTTTGGTTCCGAAATATTATTACTGCGCAGCACCTCTGTGTATCTCGAAACGGAGCCCTACCCCACGGATATTATCCGGTCTGATGTTTACCGCGTGAGGCGTTTTTTCGACCCCGACTTCGCAGCGCCACGCCGGAATCCTTTCGTGACGGCGCGATATGCATCCTGGTCTCGAATGATGATCTTGTTGAAGGCTGGAAATCATCTCGAGAATACTGTTCTAGGATGACAGATGCGAGCGCCCGGAAACACAAGCAGGGAGATGACGGTGCGAAAACCAATGCGCGCAAACTCCGTGAAACGGTGAGTGTGGCTGTCACTTTCTCTTTCAGGAAATTTCTCGCCCATCGGCTCCGTCGACGCCATGGTAGATCAGTCAACGATGTCACATCGGCCTAGTCGGTGAATTCGTCACCGGGCCCGATATTACGGCTCTTTAGATGACAGCTCGATTTACGGCCAGTTCCTGTGAGCGTCGCTCGAATTCTAATGCATGGACTATATCGTGTTCTCTCACACATCGGTGGGAGCCCTCCTAGAAAACTGACGCCGAAATCACGACTGGGTCGCCCAGTCGTGGTCCAGTGCGACGTCTCTTTTGACATGGGTCAATCGGATCTCCTCCGAAAATTCCCCGAATTCCGGAAGTTTTTCCCCACGCGGGCTTCCGGCGTAAATGGTCTCCGGGACCCTTCCAGCAGGGATGGCGGCTATAGTATTGACTTTCGTGAATGCGGAGATTTCACCGATTGAGTTCCTGATAGCGCTACTCGGAGCAATGACGTCAGCCTCGACTAGACGTTCGAGGCGTTGAGGGAATACTATCACTCAAGGGCGGCCAAACGACGGAAGCCCGGCGGAAGGCTGACGACGCTGGCGGCACATGCTCAGTGGTCTGTCCCATTGTAAACGATCCAATGACTCCGGAATCGGCGCTTTTGAGCCAGTCGATCTCTCGCGTGGCACACGTTGCTCCGAACCTACAACACCAATTACTTTCCGTTCGGGCGCTTCTTTTCGTCGCTGGCAGACGTCATAAAACATACGGAGCTATTGAGTCAACAACATGCTAATTTATTGCGTGGAACGGCTGCGTTCCGCAGCGCGCGGCAATTTTGACGCGCTATGGGATCGCGAGAGCGTGCGCTCCCGTGGAACAATCTCTCGCTGCTTCCGCTAGCGCTTCATGAGCCAACTTGCTCACAGGAGCATTTCTCGAGGGTAGGAGCGATCCAATGGCGCGCCAATGGAAGAAATTCGTCAGTACTCTCGCTCGTAACGTGATGATCGGCTCTCGAGGGGGAATAAGCGTGGAGGCTCTTGTTCGTTTTTTTTATCGTGAAGTAAATAACTCTTCCCCGTGTACGGATCCGGGCAACTCCCGCCCTGGAGCGGGGAACTTCCTTCACCTGTCCATAGCAACACTCGTGTCAACCCGATAAATTCTTATCTCGCCCACGTAAGGAACCGGGAGCGAATACATTCGTGGAATGAGTCTAAATCTTTTTAAGGCCGTATATCATTGTTGGTGATGCTGACGGATTCCCATCCGAAATAGTCCGAAATTTTCCATAGGATCCGAATGAAAGCTCCAGCGTCAAGCATCAGCGCAATTCTCTGGTCCCGGGTTGCGTGAGGGACTTCTGAAGTATCAACGCGGCGTCACATTAGCTTCATTCGATGTCACTCTTGCATCATCGTGACTCGATTTCATGTCTCGATGTTTCCCACCCGGTTCACGAATGCCGGCTTCTCAGCTCACGGAAGATAATTCCCTGCGCTCATCTCTAGAATTTTGTCGCGAAAACGATGCCGAGCTCGGATTCATAGATAGGAAAAAATTGTCTCTGCAAGTCTCGGAGCGAGAGCTCATACTTCGCAGTCATTCTACCTCTAGACCGCAGCGTGCTGACGGGGGCAGAGGCTGATTCTCGCTCACTCATTATACCGCTAGAACTCGAAAGCGCTCGTTTCCACTGGGATAATACTATCCGCTGCTCTAAGTAGGCACAAGGAGCGAGCTTGGCTATTCGTTTGGAAACAGCTGAGCATCGACTGAAGTTCTTCAGACCATGGTTCCGCCCGATCCTTGACCCGAAAAGAATCATCCCGTGTGATTTCACGTCGATTGGACCGGGGTGCACATCCAGGCGTTTGATTTGTTTATACTAGATGATGATTCATAGCGGAGGGGATTTTTAGAAGATTCTTCCACGTGTTGACTTGAGTTCAACCATGGCCAAAGCGGTCAACAACCTCTAGAATGACATCGACCTTCCCAATGATGTTCTTCAACGTTCTCTAACTCACAATTCGGAGATCGATCGAGCTCCTGATTTCCCTCAGTGGCCTTAGGTCCCTGGGGGAACCGGAGTCTAAGGCAAGTCTTCTCCTCCTCAGGCTCTCAGCAGCCCAGCGGTATTCTCCGACGACCCTGTAGCGATAGCTGATAAGGAAGCCTGTGACTATAGCATCAGGATCACGACAGAGATGGCGAAAGCCGGAACAGCGCCTCGTCCGATAAGGATGTACGCCGATGGTGGGTTGTCACGGTGAATCGGAACTTATTCTCCGTATGATTTACTCCGCGATGTCCCCGTGGGAGCATGCAAGCTTCGGATAATGATGGGGGCTTGAATGTTTCAGGTATCTACGACCTTTTTCACCAAGGGCACGCGCGACAACTTATGCAGGCGAAATCCATGTTCCCGAACGTCTACCTCATCGTCGGCTGTTGTAGCGACAGATTAACGCACACAAATAAAGGGAAAACGGCAAGTGACTAACGCAAGAGACGCTCCTCGCTACCGATCTGGAGTAGGCGCCATCCTTGCGCAGTAGTTCGACCGGAAGCCATCCGTAAAGCGCTCCCGCATGCTAGCTAGCTCCGTGCACGCGACGTGCTCGTATTGATGAGCGCATACCAGCCAGAGAAAAACCGTCCTTGCCGTGCGCCTCGATCTCAGCTTGGAATTCGTTTCTCGATTCCAGGTGATGACCGACAAAGAACGCTACGAGGCATTGCGCCACTGTCGATACGTAGATGAAGTCGTCCGGGACGCGCCATGGGTCCTCACCAGTGAATTCTTAACTAAGCACAAAATCGACTTCGTTGCACATGATGACATCCCATACGGATCAGAGGACGAAAGCGATGTTTACAAATTCATAAAACAGAGAGGAATGTTCGCTCCGACGCAGAGAACCAAAGGAGTCTCTACCTCGGACCTTGTGGCGAGAATAGTTAAGGACTACGATCTCTACGTGAGGAGGAACCTCGACAGAGGCTACTCCGCGAAAGAGATGAATGTCTCCTTCATAAATGTGAGAATCTCCACAAGGGAGGATTGCTCTCGAATCCACGCAAGCTTGGCTTCCCATATCCGTCGAGACGTCCATAAACAATAGATTATTTATTGTCATCGCCCAAAATAGAGGCAACGGCTGCTTGGTCCCGTCGGAGAGCCCGGAGTGCGCGACTCTCTAATCTCCCCCCTCGCTCCACAGGAGAAAAAATTCATCCTGCAAAATAAAATGGACGCACTCAAGAAGAAAGGCAACGATTTCGTCGAGAACCTCGGAGAGAAGAAGCACGAGATCATCACAAAATGGGAGGAAAAGTCTCGGGACTTCATCCACAGTTTCCTAGAACTTTTTGGTCGGGACGGAGCCTTGGTGAGTGAAGCTATCGCTTGACACGACAAAAGCTACCAGTTGTCTTCTCGACACCCTATATCACTCATTGACTTCCGGAGGGGGCCCGGTCTTTTCCGTCCTGTATTCCTCCTTCCTTGGTGTGGACGTCCGTGGGAATCGTTTTGATTTTCCCGGGGGCCGTTCGTTTTGTTGTGCTCATTAGTCGTGTGTCCGTTACAGTTTGAGATAATGCCGATTTGCTCTGTGTTCCTTATGACGATCTATGTAAGATCAGGAAGATTCCTCGCTCTCGGAGCAATAATCCTAGCGGACGCTCTACGGATAGCCGTTGGATGGAACAGCCCCACCTCGGGCACTCAAACCGACGACAGAGCGAACCGTCCCTCTCCGCTGTCGAAAGCACAGCTTGATTCCTTCTTCTCACTCACATGCCCAACCGGCGGCGATCCCGCCGAGGATCAGATGCCGGAAATCGGCAGGATAAATTTCAAAGCCGACGACGGCGGCGACGCTCCGAGCTCTCAAGCGGCCGGCCTCAGTGAAGAAGCCGGAGCAGTATAACATTTCAACTCATCTCTCGCATGCAAATTATGAATATCGTGATAAACGGAAAAGTCTCACACCCTCGTGAAAAGGCAAATGCGGATATTCGAAGTTGGCCTCTCGCACTACTCTGAAGTTAAAGAATGACGGACAAATAATCAAGCGAGTGCCTCTCATGCGAGCTAGCGAGTAGAATTTTCCCCGGAGCTCTCAGATTCAAGATTTTAGGACATCGAACTTTCTATCGTGCTGTGACAGCAAACTAAACGAATACACTGTGATGATAGAACCGATTAGCGCCGTTATCAATAATACTTCATATCCGTCGGAGTTCGACGGTATCTGTCCGAATTAAATTCAGGAAAAGTCCGATTCGAGATGGGTTCCGGAGGCTCTTTTCCCCCGTCCCTCCTGATATTTCGGCTTGGGCCCTCCTGCCCGTCGTAGCTCATGTTCTAGGAGAAGCTCTGTCTGTATAATCCTGGAGCTATGCCTCGTTCGAGACCAAACTCCAGCAGTTCCGTGGATTATCCTTTCGCGTCCCCTCCTTTCGGAGCCATTCGGTCTGAGAACCCTCAGTTGAGCATGAGAAGTTCGGCTTTCTGGAACGATTTATTTACGGAACCTGCATGCATTAATATATGTTACCTGCATTTACCGTTCGGTCGTGTCGCTCTCCTTTTGCCTCTCGCAATCCTCTGATTGATCGTAGGTAGTTGGAGCATTGTAGTCTCCCTTAGATTCCTTCGGATATTTCCCTTCATGATTTTTTGGATTCCTGCAGAACCTCCTCTGGAACGAGGGCAAGGGCCGCATCCGGAGTGCACTCTCCCCGACAACTACCCCACCGGACTCACCTGTCGCCAATCGCGATGAGGAGCTCGACCAGCCGCGGCTGACTCTGGTGAACGATTCGTGTGAAGAAGATTCTCCCCCGATGAAACGAGGACGGAATCTTCATTCATCGGTGTCCTCTCTCGGCGACGACACCTGTGATTCTGAGGGCAGCGATCGATCCAGAAGAAACGGAAGTCGGAGACGGAGACGATGAAGCGAATAGGTTTTAAATGAACATCCGTTATGCAAAAGTGTTGTAGTTTGAGCGACGGATCAACGGAAACATCTCTCTGCGTCGAGTGCCTTAGTATTGAGACAGGGAGAGGTGACCTTAACCAGTTCCACGAAAAGTTGACCCAGACGACTAGATTTTCAGAAAAAGCTGTTTTTCCGCATCAGACGAGGAGCCTATGGTGACAATCCAGTGAGAATTTTTAGGAACATGGATGTGACAGCTCCGATAGAAAGATTACTGAGTGAGCGAGAGATGTAGGAATGATTTTAGGCGTCAACCCATCTTCAATTTTTCAACGATGTTTCCGCCTTCCTCGAGGCAAATTTGACCGCTACCCAGGCCAGCTACATCCCTTCCATGGGCCTGGAGAGTCGAGAAGCGCGGGAAACTGCAGACGTGACCCATTTGAGAAGTTGACTTAGCCCGCGCTCTTTTCCGCCGGCGACTACTGTTAAAGATTAAAATTAAATAAAATTATGCAAGAATTTTACGGTAAAGCCCGCTGTCTTCCACCGAAACTTGTTCTAACTGGGGATTCTGAGACGGGCGTGACGGGAGATTCGTGTGTAATATCACAGCAGCCGAGAGTTAACATTGTAAACCTGAAGTCGAGTAGAGACTAGATCTTCCTGAAGACAGTCGATACTGCCATGAACGACTCCAAAAGCCTTGCTGCAGGGGGATGAGCTCATGAACCAATGAGGAAAGATGACTGCTTTCGATCGCCATCCCGAGAGAAGCAATATGGATTGAGGCTGCGCTTGTTGCGAACGAACGGGAATGAGAGCTTGAAAACTGATTATTATTTATTTCAAGGGTCAGGAAATGTGGTGTCGCTAGTTCGCTCTGACGGTTACCAATGCTGTATGGAAAGGAACACCGCGAGGCTGCTCCTCTCGTGGTCGATTTCTCAGGCATGCACAGTGATTCTAGCAACATCTTTTTTTTCGTCGAGATATCGTTCACGGTGTCTCTCAGCTCACACGAATATCGAAGTGATCCAACTTGCGACCCATGACCTGTGTGGGACTTGGGTTAATTTCCCGATATGTGGATCATCCGACCTCTGACATTCGTCCAGGGATCTCGCGGTGATTTCTTGTGGTGAGATTCCTTCGACCCAATCGCCGGGAAGCCCTGAATGAGTGAGTTCATCGCCAAGGAATCACCCCGACTCCTGTCCCTCAGAAATCCGGGTGGGAACGCTTCCCAGTCGGTCGGATCGCATGACCACGATTCGACCAACTTCGGGAATCTGTCCCTCGTCGAAACTCCATCTGCCTCCGGTTCGAACAAAGACTCGGAAATTCTCCATCGTTCTCGGCTCTCGATGTGCCGGATATACTTGAAGGGAGAACGCCGATCGCTCGACTCCGAATGTCACGAGCCGCGACGTTGCTAGCGGAGGTTGGCGTGCATCCCCGCGCCGATGACGAAGTTTCAGGTTGGAGATTCCTATCGTGAAGTAAACAAAACATTCGGAGATCAATCGCGAGCATGGAGGATCAGTTGATGAGGGCGTCACGCCAAGTGAGTCACATATAGATTGATGTGTTTTACCAGTACTCATGTTCTTTCGAGGGGGCTCCAGATTTCCCATCTGTCATCGTTTTCAAAGAGTTTCTTGAAGCTTCGCTGACTTGATCCAATCAGACTTCGTCTAGACGAGCGCAGTAGTTCCGGATGTGAGTCGAGTGTCGGTCCCGAATTCTTCGCCTGGAATAGCGAATCCTCATTCAGAATACCGTAGAGCCCGGTCTACGACGCGGTCTGGAAGATCTACTCTCGATTCCTATGTCTCCGACTTTCCGAAGACGACGAGCGCGCAGCTAGGCGGGCATTGAAATTTCCCTCTGTCGGAGTTCCCGGCCATGCCGGCTTCGAATTCCGACTGAGACCTCTGGTAGGTACGATTCGAATCAGGAGTTACGATTGATGGATGTATGCGTGATTCCAGAACACTGATGATCTGCTGCGGCAATGGCAGAGCAAATCCGATGAAGTCAAGGAGAGCTTGGCGGGGGCTAGAAAGACCGTGGATAGAATGGGTATCGCTTGCAAGTCTCCCTCGGACAGCAGTGCGTCTAGCCGCTCATGCGAAGACATGGAGGCAGACTCAGATAGCGACTTTGAGCTGCGGAGACCGTCGACTTCCAGTGACGACAACTCCAACTCCTCATGTGATCCCTCTCAATCCTTGAAATTGGCCAGGGAGTCCTTAGGGCTCGAAGATCCAGCGAGGCTCCGAGCAGATCCGCTGAAAATGGACATCTCAGGAGAGCTTTCATGCGCTGACACGGAAACTAGTCTGAGTCTGATGAGAAGACGGAAAACCGTACACGAAATCCCTCAAATCATCATCAATACGCCCGAGGGCACCGACAAATTCAAGCGGAGACGGAGTACAGGCGAGGTGCTACAACGTTATTCTTAACAGCAATAATTCTCATGTTTTAAATGCATAATTTTACTCGAAATTTCGGACGGCGATATCGTCGATCATGAAATCCAGACTTCTTTTCCTCCCGAAGGTCGTGCGGTCCTTTTCCGATACAAATGCGGCAAGACAGCGACGATGATACCGGTCTCGTTTCCACAGCCAAGAACGCCGCGGATGCAGCTTTCATGCGTCAACTCTCCCGGAACCCCTTCGGGGAATAAACCGCGCACCCCAATACCCCTGGCAAAGGAAGACCCTTGTACGCCAGACACGCACGGCCATCTGCCTTTCTCCAGCGGCGCGCTTTCGTGCCGGAAGAGGGAACTGTCTACAAATGGCAATGTACGAAAACGGATCAGCTCGTTTTTCACTTGATGGTCTCAAATGAGTTTTTCCTATTATTATCAATCTCTTCGAGGTAAGGAATTGAGTGACGAGGGACGAAATTCGTCCATAACGCGTGTCTGAGACGAAATGCGTTTCCTTCAGTGCCCAGGCACACCGCCGCTCAAGAGCAACGCGACTCCCTTCTTCACTTCCGAAGACTTGACTTCGCTGTTCGAAAAAATAAAGTTGGAAGTCCCGAGCAGTTTGACGCCGCCGGATGATTCGAAAAGATGGGAATCTGACATGAATGCGGCGTTCTACTCTGCCTTCCAAGTGATAGGCGCGGGCATGGATCAAATTCAGAAGAATACCCCGAGGGCCCCCCCCGTCCCTCTCCTGCCTGGCTCCGGCGGTAAATCCAAATCCCTCATGACCTCGGTACTCGACGACGTGATGACTCCGCTGGAGATCTTGATGAACTCTGAAATCGAAGATGGAGACATCGCTGAAAGAGCGCTCGCTTCGATTGAAGAAGCTCTCGAAGTGATCAGCAAGTGAGTTCCCGATTCCGGATGCGATCTTTGGTAGTGGACATTCATTCGCCTTTACGAAATAGAGCCCATACTCATTATTTTCGTATCGGTCGCATAATTAGAGGACTACTTCAGGCAAGTTCCTCCGGAGGCTCCCGCGACAAATCTCAATGACGACTCTGAATTCCTGAACCGGAGACTCGGACCGAAAATCACCATGATGAGAAACTCCATGCGAAGGGCCAATAATAAGATCACAGACGAGATGCGAAGAGCTCACTTCCTCAATACCGATCAGGATTTCGGCGGAGTTGCAACACACGTGACTGACCTCATAAGATCGTATAATGTAAGATGCTCCCCCGGCTCTCCCCGGATAAAGGCACTTTGAGAGGGACGATCGCTGGAAAGGTCGACGGACCGAGGATTGATTCTGTGCCTGAGGTTCTCTCCGTTTTCTTCACAGGAGGCCATCTGTCAATTGGATTACTTGAGTACTGACTCGACTGCTCATAATGTATAGACGATGAGGGGAGGCTTCCGAAAATTCGAATTATATCCCCTCTTTTACAATCTTCGCCTTTTGTGAGACTGATGTCCGACTACGAAGGTATGGGAACCGTGGCCTGATCCTTCCTCGAAATCGATCAGGCTTTCTCATTTCCGATGAGACGCTGGGAATCGGATCGGACGGAGCGTAAGATAATTCCGCAACGATTTTTAGTACTTGCCGTGTCAGATACCGCATAATAAATATTCTTTACGCGTTTGAGCTGCGAGCAGTCTCTTTCCCAACCCCGGGGAATCCAGGGGGGGAGCCAGCTTCTTCTCTTGAGGGGGGGCAGTCAGATTTCCAGGGGGCCAAGAGCCTAGAATGATGACGCGCCTTCTCGCGGCATATTGGGAGCGCAGATTCTTGGTAGGGGGGCCATGGCCTCTCGCCCTCCCCTCTGGATCCGCCACTGGGGGAACTATCTGTGGAAGACGATCTGATTCGGAGCCTCGGATCTGGAATCTTTTCGAATATTGGTAGTGTCCGTGTGTTTGTGTTCGTTTTGGCCTCGGATCTGGAATCTTTTCGGGTATTGGTAGTGTCCGTGTGTTTGGATCGTTTCGGATACACGCCTCGCATCTGAGCGCTCGAGGGAGAGCCTGCTCTTCCCCAAAATCAGAAGACGAGACTAATGCGCCCCCCCCCCTACTGATCCCCCTCGATAATCAGCATCCCCCTAAGAAAGCTCCTCAATGTTCTAAGTAAGTGTCTCCCAGCTATATCGATACCGCGTAGCCTGCCGGTCTCTTCAATCTGTCCACCGGCCCTTACCGATGAATAAATGAAACGAAACAATTGTAAGTTGCGCACATGCACACGACGTTCCGAAGCTCTTGCGAATGTTTTGTTTTTGTTGATGCATACGAATCCAATTCGTTCGAATCGGGAGATCGTCGATCAACACCCCTGTCGTTCGGAAGGAACGCAACGGTCCGAATCGGGAAAAGTGAACGAAACGATCAAGATGTCTATCTCTAGCACTTTGTGCGCCGAAATAACCAAGCCAAATCTATCGTTTGCAATCGATGCGATCATCATTGGAAAGCGAAAAGCAAAATCTGGAACTAGAGGAGGCACTAACATTCCCTTCAATTTCACAATCAAAGATGTCGTGGGCGACACGGCCAACGTCGTTTACTGGGCGCGGCCGGACAAGTATCTCGAGGCGAACTCCATCCTCCAGCTTGGTGAGTTCGATTTGCGCGAATGTGACCCGTTTTCTTCTAGCGGATACGGGGCTTGATCGAGAGGGGTATACAAACGCTCCCGTTCCAGGGAGTGCCTTCCGTTTTGTATCGTTGAAGTCCTCAAGCGCAGGTCGGGGCAAGGAAATAGATCCGAGAACGACTTGTGCATTCGTATTACAAATGTCGACATTGAGCGTCGAGAAATTGGGCGACAAGAAAATCGAAGAAAAACTGATGCATATCTTCAGCACGATCCCACAAGGACTCGAAGTGACTCCGATACCCCAGCTGCTGTCAGCGACGGCGACCTTTCGAACGAATGTGATGGCTACAGTAGTCTCGATAGGTTCGTCCGACGATATATTCCCGGGATGATGATGATGCACCTAGATCAGATTCTGAGCTTCCATGAGCTCAGCGGTCATTTCTTTTTAGGCGAGCTGCGCCAAGTCAAAGTACCGAGCGGCGAACTCGCATCAGCGCTCGACCTCGAGGTGGCTGACCACAGTCTCGAAAGCATAATCGTGACCTTGTGGGGCTCTGAGCTGACGGCCTTCGTCCACGAACAGATTATGGCCTGGTGAGATTTCTGCGTGTTCAATCCCCTCGGCCAGCTGTTCGGATTCCGATTCCCCGCCAGAGGACTTTCCTTTCCCCGCAGATGACTCCGGAGGATCTTTCAGGGATTCGGTGATCCTCCTACAAGATGCGAAAGTGAAGTTCTACGCGAACCGATCCAACCACGTCACGATCGGTACCCAGACCTTAGTCACTCCGAACGCGTCCGGGAAGGCTGCTACGATAATTCAGAGGGCCGTCGCGAAGGTATGAACTCGCCAGTCGGCGGAACGGAAATGGCACAGCCGCATAGCCTGACCGTGGTTTATCGTTCCAGGCTCGGGCGGAGGGATTGAAGTTCCGCAAAATGCTCGAGATTCCGAAGACGGCTCCGGCTTACAGTCCCGATCTACCGCCACAATGGATGTTGCTCAAAGTCATCAGCGATTTCTTCAATCGGGCCCTTTGGCCCGATCACATCAACCCCTACAAGCCCATGGTGTCGATATGTGAGTTTATTGAGACGTAACGCGGAACGATCCGGCTCGACGACCCAGTGTTGATGAATTGTCCCGTATTCCAGTGCTTCTCTCAAGTGTGGAATCGGCCCGTTTTCGATTGATCTGTCCGAGGTGTGAAAATAC